CGGGGGGCTCCGCCGGCTGCCCCCAAGCCCCGCTGCTGGCAGGGGTCCCGCGGGGAGCCGGGGCTGCTCGGCCTGGAGAAACGCGGGCTGAGGAGAGACCTCCTCGCTCTCCACAGCTGCCTGCAAGGAGGTTGTAGCGAGATGGGGATCCGTCACTTCTCCCCAGTGACAAGCGGTAGGACGAGAGGAAATGGCCTCAAGTTGTGCCCGGGGAGGTTTAGACTGGGTATTTGGAAACATTTCTTCACGGAAAGGGTTGTCAGGCACTGGAACAAGTTGCCCAGGAACGCGGTGGAGTCACCATCCCTGAAGGTATTTAAAAGGCAGATGTGGTGCTTAGGCACATAGTTTGGTGGCAGACTTTGTAGTGCTGTGTTAGTGGTTGGACCTGATGACCCTAAAGGTCATTTCCCTTTTCGCAACGTGTGCCTGTTGTGTGTTCACTTTTGTCTGTTGCCCTGTATCAGCCCTGACACTCTTCCATCACAGGCATGCTTGCTCTTCAGTTTGGACAATCAGACTCTCATCCACATGGTGCTTCATGTCACCACTGGCTTCCTGAGTGTAGGAGCACCCACAGCAGCAGTCCTCACAGACACTCAAACACTGTATATTGCTTATAATGCTAACTTCATTTTATCTATCGTCTTCAATGCACTGCAGTACAGCTGTGGTTGCATTACACCAGGGACAGTGTGGTTATCTTCAGCATTATTCTGAACAGAAAAATGAAAATCTGGGGATCAAAATGTCTTGCAGTGGTAAAATATTCATGGGGTATGAGTCAGTTATCAGCTGATCTAAGGAATGAGGAACACAAGTAAGGGTGAAAGAAAATGGGTTCCTAAAGGTGTTTACTGGTATATTCAATCAAGTAATTTCGACTTTAAGTGCACAATAAATAATGTTAAAGAAGGTACTTAGGCTTATTAGTATTTTCTTTTTTTTATTAGAGAAAAAAAGGCAATTATGAATTAATTTTCATAGAGGTGCAAATGTAATTAAGTTTAGAAAACCAGGACAGTTTTCCCTGAAGATCACACTGGTGAAACTGGAACATTAAAACTAGTTTTGTAAACCTAAGAAAACTCACAAACAGTACTTGCAAAAATGTACATAAATGCACAGGAAATTCAAAGGTGAACACATGAAATTCAGATTCTTTAAAAGAGCACAGTAAAATGGTCATCAATGGAGAAATCTTTCTTCTACTAAAATGGTAATCTTATTTTGCTGCAGTAGTGCTTCTTGGTTCATCAAGACTAATCTTCCGGAAAATAAGAACTGCATCAACAACACAGAGAACAAGCAAGATAAGACCAAGCACCTATAAAAACAAGGATAATGTTAGTTTCCCCATAGAATCTCTATCTTTTACTGTAGTGATGCATCTGCTGTTCTTCAAAGAAGTGGTAAGCACATCTTACTCACTTGCTTCTGGACTCTTAAACATATGCGTGATTTGAGACAACTGATAAATAACATCCATATTTAAATCCCATCAGCCTTTCACAGAGCAGTCTACACCCTGGCTTTGTTTGATGTTTGTGTGAAGCCCTGGAGATTGCAAAGCCCTGGAGATGACGTGTTCACCTTGAAAGCCAAGTTTTTGCTGTATGCCAGACAATGCTTTCATCCTAAATCAAAACCCTTTTGTCTCCTGAAGGACTGCCTAATTAATGGTATTGGCCTGGAGAAAAATTAAAAGTTGTAGAAACAAGCCTAGCAGAAAAAAATTAAATGTACTCCTCTCCTCTGAAGTTCTGAATGGGAAACATATTCCAAATTGAAGAAAATGTATGTAAGTATTAAGAAATATACAACTTCAGGCAGGCAACTGGAAAAATGTGTTTGCAAAACATCTGCTGAGTTACTTGCTCAGCTCTTGCCCTTCAGCCCAATCCCACATTCACACCAGTGCTTTTATGCAATTATGTTTTAAAATGGAATTGTCTGAACAGTGGGAATAATGCTAAGGCCAGCTCTTTAAGGAGAGCACAGTTCCAGCCAGTGTATCCTGTAGTACAGGCCACGGGGCAATTCTGTTTCTCCCAACACTGAAGATGCCATACATTCTGCCCAAACTTGTTTTTCAAGCTACCTGATTAGTCTCCTAATTCCAACTTAAATTTCCTTTAACTTCACAACTGAGAACAGTTGTCAGAAAGTTCTTTTTTTTTTTTTCTTTTCTTAGGATGTCAGTGCCAGCAGACATTAGCTTTCCACCTCTCTGTCTCTTAAGCTGATTCTGAAAAGTGGCAGGTTCTGGGTTTCTTTTCATTGCTTGTTACATTTAGCTTATCTTGCAGTTCAGTAGGCTTATATACTTTCAAAACTGAAGTTTTTTCCCCTTATTCTTTACTAGTGTTAATTTGAATAAAAAATACCAGTTGCT